TGGCAGCTTGCGCGCTCGCGTGCGCGGTTCCGCGACGTCGGGTTGTAATCGTCGGCCCCTCGCAATGTTTCGTTTGTTGGCTTCTTGCATTTCCAGCGGTTCCGCGCGCGCGTTTCCCTGTCGTTTCGCGCCCTTCCCCGACGCGTTGTGTGCAAGGCCGTGCGTGCATGGGTGCGTGAGTATGTGTGCGTGTGTGTGTGTGTGTGCGTGTGTGCGTGTGTGTGTGTGTGTGTGCGTGAGCGTTCGTGGGTGTGTTGAGCGCGTGCTTGTGTGCATGACTGCGCGTGTGTGTGTGCGTGGGTGTACCGTTGTACATGCGTGCGCATGCAGGTGTGTGTGTGTGTGTGCGTGTGATTACACGTGCGTCGTGGTATTAGATGCGTACGTATGCATGTATGTGCACTGCGAATCCGCATGGGTACATGTGCATACACACGCGCATGTATGTACACGCCCTACACATACACAAACATGCTTACATGTGGGTGCGTACATACACACGCGCCCTAGTTGCACACCCGTACGCCCAACTACACCTATTTACACATACGTCCTGCATGTTTGCGTTCATGTATACAGATAGATGCATACACGATGCTGGTGTTTCGTGCGCGTTCCTCCTCCGCCCCCAGAGGGCTCCGAGAAGTTCCCGTGCTACCGCGTGTCCGCCACCTGGTCGTCGGACCCCCTGCCGCTGCTCCAGGTGGCGCGCCGCGAGGCGTTCTGGGACTTGCCGCTCAGCATGTTGAAGAGCATCTGCGACTTGCACGAATGGGAGTACTCAGGGGCGAGCTTGGGCGCGCTCCTGATCACCCTCTGCAAGAAGATCATCCCTGAGTGCACGGACGACCTCATCCTTGCCATCCTGCGGAAGCGCGCGGTGGCCGACGACAGCGACAACCTTGAAGACATCGTGAATTTAGAGTGGGTGGTTGACATGTTCGACCACGGTTCGGCGGAGGAGTTGGCCACCGAGGTCAAGAGCTGCAAGGCCATGATGATGTCCCTGAAGGACTTTATGACCGAGGTCGACAAGTTCAAGGCACTTTGTTTTTGAACAGCGGGGCTGCCAACTCGAAACGAGGAGGGCGGTGGATGAGCTGGTGTTCTGGAGGAGGCGGAGGGGCGCAACGGCGGGGGGACTGCAGCGGGGAAGTGGGGGCGAGTGCGGGGAGGAAGGACGAGGCGGTCGGGGTAGAGGCGCGTTGTCACGATTCGCACGATGCCGATCGAGGTTGGTGAGTTTGACGCGATGCAGGCAGCGCCTGAGTTTCTCGGTCGCGATTGCTCCTACAGGGGGGCGGGGCCGTTGACGGGTAATGCCGCGCGAGGGGCCCAGGACAGTGGGCTAGATTCCGCCCACGGTGTTCCGAGTACGCCACCTTGGTTATGATGCCATCCCCCGCTACCCGCGTCCGGCCTCGATCCCATGGCGGTCTATCGCCCCCCCCCGTTGCGCCCCAGAAAAAATTGAGATCCGCTCGAGGTGAAAGTGAAGGGCAAGCCGCCCAAGCTCCTGACCTCGAAGAACCACCCCCTGAAGGCCGCGCTGCCCCACTACCCCAAGCGCCCGCCCGAGCCCTCCGACGACCTGGACCAGGCTCAGGCCAAATTATTTCTGCCGCCGCGCTGCTACATCCGGCGGGTCAACACCCGCGGAGCTTGGGCCCTCAACCAGGACGGCAGGCACTCTAGCACGGCGTGGGCCCGATTCGACAACAACAGCTTCCAGTGCCTGAAGGCGTTGCTGGCCAAGGCGTGGAAGGTCTATCTAACGGGCGAAGGCTTGTCGCTTTCGCATTGCCCGACTCCTGGGCTCGAGCTGTAGTAGAGGGCCGATGATCGGGTAGGGATGTGGGGTTGGAGGCATTGGTAGAGACAGGGGTGGGATGGGATGGCGCCCGCGCCTGCTCTCGGCCTCTGTCCACCAGGCGTATGTTGCTTTCCGTGTGATGGTGTGCATGTCGACAGAGACATGTGATTTGAACCGCCTCGGCTGATGCGTCGAGCCTGGCCCCCGCTGGGGGTCGGAGCATTGCGTCGAAGGCCAGCCGCGCGAACGAAGGGCTGCCGCCTCTGCCATGCACGACCCCTGTCATCCAGGAGCAGAGGGCCCATGTTCGCTGAGTGATGTGGGGATGGAGGTGCAAGGAGGGGGTGGGATGGGGGGGATGTGGCCCGCTCCAGTGCTCGGCCCCAGTCCAAGCTGTATTCGTTTGCCCTGCGGGGGCACGCAAGGCGCCGAGGCGTTTCGTTCGCCTCGGCCGAGACGTCGAGCCAGCCGTTCGCCCGAGCTGCGAGGATGGAGTGCGCAGAGCGCGGCTGGTCGTGAAAACATGAACCCCGCATCAGCGTCCCCTCGAGGGCCTGTGTCCGACCCATGGTTTATCTTATACATGGTGGGTTTCTTCGGGGTTGGCGTCGACATTCCCGTGCATGTTGGCGGGAGGAGCAGCATGTTAGGGATGGGGGCGCGCTTCGTCGATGCTCGAGTGGCTTGCCAGAAGCAAGTCTATCGGCGCGAGGGCCCGCGCCCCCGTCCCCCCGTGATCGGGTGGCCACTCGCTTGGGCCGCGGCGATGCAAAGCTCGGGCTCGTCGTCAGGCTCCAGGGTCCAGCAGCAGCTGAGCGCCCCGAAGAGGTTGGAGGATCAACGGGTTGTCCACGGGTGGTTTGGGGCCGATGGGCATCCAAATATTGATCGGTCTACTTGCATATACATGCCACGAGGCAGATATAAACATAGGAGCAGGGATGCCCGAGTAGAAAGATAGATGCTAGGTGTATGGAGGTACTGATATTTCGATCTACGTATATGTATACGTATATCTATGTGTATGTGTATATGTATATATCTAGATACATTACTATTATTATTATTGATTGTTTTGTATGTATACATATGTATGAATATGTATGTATATATATATATATGTGTTTATATACACACATATATATATATATATATATATATATATATATATATGCACCAGCAGACACATAGGGATAGAAATCGGTGTTTCTATTTATAGAAATGCCACACACATACACATACCGTGCTATAGGCAGGCGGTCACATACATATCTATGGTTCGCCAGGCGGGTAGATATAGAGAGGCAGGGGGAAAGATAGAGAGAGAGAGAGGGAGAAAGAGAGAGAGAGAGAGAGCCATAATGAGCTCTAGAGAGATAGAGGTAGCGATGGCGAACTAGAGAGGGATAGACGTATGCGTATATACAGTGGTCCAATCATGTACGCATATATGGGTATATCGTGGCATAGTGTTGCGTAGAGATATGAATGACGTGGGAATAGGGGTTAACATGTTGACTCGATACACAGGGTTTGGGGTATAGAGGTGGCCGACGCGTATGTCCGCCCGCGTCCGCCTGGGCGCGCGCGGGCGGACTGGGGCGACGGCCGCGAACGGTGGCGATTTCGATCGGCACCGCCCCCCCGTGCCCTGCCAGGACTTGAAGCCAGATGACGTTCGCGTCTGCACCTCGTTCGACATCGGGCACGTCTGCACCAGGGGGCCCACCTGGGAGTACGACAACCAGGACGGGGGCGACAAGTGCATTGGTTGGACGCAGCGCCCGACGAAGCTGGTGCTCGCGAACTGGCTTGACCTGATGATTTTCGGAGGCAAGGGAATGGGGCCCAAGTGCCCTGCGACGGGGTACCACTACGGGGGCTGGTGGATCAACCGCTCGATCGTGGCCCACTGGCCGTGCGGCGAGGAGGAGTGCTTCTACAAGGCGGGCGACGACAACCACTACGACCTCAACGTGGTCAGGAACATGCACGTCCTCACCCCGATCGAGCGGGTCTTCGAGTTGACGGAGATGCTCTACGACATCAACGGCATCTTCGAGAACAACATCAGGATCAAGAATGAGGTGCTCGGCATGCCGTCGAACCCGTCGCACGCCGACCAGTTGCAGGCCATGACGAAGACCTGGATCGCCCAAGCGGTGAACGACATCATCCAGGTCGAGGCTTCCTACCGCGCGCAGCTGATCATCGACATCCACGGCAGGGGGCGCCAGCTGGAGCCGCGCTCAAGCAACGAGAAGGGCAGCGAGAAGGACTTCTGGGGCATTAATGCGGGGGACGCGGGTGCAGGGTGATCATGTGGACGAGGGTTGAGGATTGAGGGGGTGAGGTTATGTGTGAAAAACTGATGTGGCTTATGACGAGTATGGGGGTTAAGGGGGATGGGGTTTAGGAGGAGGATGGCGAGGGCGAGGATGGTGATGAGGGTGAGGACTGAGGATGCGGATTGAGGAGGGTGAGGGTGGTTATGGGGATGAGGGGTGAGGAGGATCAGGATGGTGATGAGGATGAGGATGGGGATGTGGAGGGATGTGGGCGCATATAGTGGGTGAGGGCTGACGCGGAGGATGTGGAGGAGATGGGGCGTCGTGGCAGGGCGACGGGCCGCGACCCGACAGGAGTTCAGCAACGGCGTGAAGGGCGTCAAGAAGGACGTCAAGAAGTCCTAGGTGAGCAGGCTGCAGCGACGGCGCTGCCCCAGAGCTACCTTCGCTCTCGGCCTAAGGATGAGGATGAGGACGAGGACGAGGATGCGGGTGAGGATGAGGGTTAGGATGGGGATGATAATGAAGACGAGGATCAGGAGGAGGCCTCCCCTTTCCTCGCCCATCGCGCGCGGCTTGCCCCGCGCCGCTGTCGGGGCGCGCCCTCGCCCACGTTCTGCTCGCCCAGGCGGGCGGTGTTCCCTTGAGGGGTCCGCTGGGAACAATTGGAGCGGGGCCCCAGCGTGGGGCTCCACGCCACCTCGGGCGCACTCGCGCATGGAAATGTGCGCCCGCGCACGTGCCCCTCCCGCCCCCTCCTCCTCCACGCGTTGCCGCTGCTGCTTCCCCCCCCGCCCTCTCGCCTCATCTCCTCGCCTCTACCGCTCTAGGGTTAGTCTTTCTATTCCTTTTCCTTTCCCCCCATCCAGCCCTACCCCTCCTTCGCCTCCAGCCTCCGCCTCCTGCCCCAATCTGGCACTTTACGTCATATGGCCATTCGTCGTCGTCGTATTCGTCGTCGTCATCGTCGTCTTCGTCGTCGTCGCCTCGGCCGTCGTCGCCGTCGTCGTCGACGGCGCAGCGTCGTTGCCGTCGCGTGAGTCCCCCGACGGGGCGGGTTCGGTAGGCCGCGGGCCCGTCCTCGCCGAGGCCCGCCGAGGGTTGCCTCGGGGGGTGGGGCCAGGGGTGCCGGGGACGGGGGCGGGGGGGGTGTTTTCGTTGCCATCGGGACCCGCACTTGGGACTGTGGGAGAAGGGCGCCCAGGTGACGACGACGCGATACATCGAAGGGAAGACGACGCTCCCCCCCCCCCCCCCACGGCGTTGGCGGAGGACTTTCCGCAGGACGACGCAGGCAGAGACGTCGCCGCCCCCCCCCCCTCTCCTCCATCAATTCACCAGATCCTGCGGCTATCGGCTGCGCCTTCTCCTCCCCTCATCCTCCTACCGTGCAAGGCCCTCATGCTACGTCATCCGTGGCGCGGCAAGATGGCCAGGGACTGGCCGGTGGAGCGCCTGTCACTGGGTTCGCCCCGACAGTAGCAGCAGCAGTCCCCCCGCAGTTCGGCGTGAGGAGATCCATCACAGACGACCAAGGCTCCACGCGGACGCTCCCAAATGACGACTCCCCCTCCTCCTTCAATTTACCAGATTTTGCGGCTATCGGCTGCGCCTCCTCCTCTCCCCCTCCTTCTACGGCGCAGGGCACGCCTGCTATTTCCCCCGTGGTGAGTAACAGTGCCCTCGACCAGGACGGCGGGAATAGGATGGTTGATACATCAGATGCTGGACGGGTCACCTTCAGAGAGGAAGACGACCCTGCGCGAACGCACATCGACGACCGCCCTCTCCCCTCTATCAATTCACCAGATACTGCGGCTATCGGCTGCGCCTCCTCTTCCCCTCATCCTCCCATCACGCATGTCCCCCACGCTAATGGACAGGAACAGGACCCCCAACGAGACGGAAGCAGTCCATCGAGGATACTTCCCCCCCCCCCCCCCCCCCCACACACACACACACCCACCCCCACACTGAGCCAGCGCAAGCGCAGGTAGAGACAGAGGCCGACGACTTGGGCTTCGCGAGGGCGCGCATGACCGTCTCTTCCCCCTAATCCTGCAATTCTCCAGTTGTTGCGGCTATCGGCTGCGCCCCCCCCCCCCCTCTCCTCCTCCTCGCGTGGGTCACGACGGTCTGGCTGCGGCCCGCGGACGCCCACCACCTCAGGATTCAGAAGCACACAGGACGCACGAAGCAACCGAGGTGGCACCTGGGGACAGTACCCCAGATATTGGCGCTGCTCAGAGGGAAGAGACCAGCCCTGGTAGGCGGACAAGCGGTCGCCCGAGTAGGCCACGAGACACGACACAAGGTCCCCCATACGACCAGGAATGGAGCCTGGCAGGGAGGGGCGCTGACGACACCTGCCCGCAGACGCAGGGCCTCCCAGCCCCCTCGGAAGAGATAGGTGCCGCGCAAAGCAGCACGCACGAGGCGACGCACCACGCGCCAGAGATCCCCAGCGGAGGCCGAGCCGCGGCCTCCCCCGACAGGACGCCACTCCCACCACATGATCCAACTACGGCCTTCCCGACTTGGCTGCCCAGGGCTGACGCGACAGAGGACGTCGACATATCCCCCGCTGTGCCATTCGATCCGATAGGAATCGGCGCGGACGGAGAGAGTCAGCATCACGCGGAGTACGGCCGCAGCATGAGGACAGGGACGGACGCTGTAGGGGGGTCGCCCCCAAGCGAGGGCGAACGAGAAAATGGCACCCCGAGCGACGGGTGGGCGCAGGATTGGGAGAGCGACGACGAAAGCAGCATCGAGTCGGGCGCTCGGGGTCTCGACAGCCCAATCCCCCCCCCCCAGGCATCTGGCCTGCTCCGCCTTCAGGCTCAAGGACGCGCAGCCCAGGAAGGAGGGGGGACGTTCACGGGCAGAGGAGACACGCGCCCCAGCTCGGACCCCCCCCTCCACCAAGACGAGGGGTGTCACGTAACATCGACTCACCCTGCCAGGCCCCTATAGTTATGGACCCAGGAACACCATGAGAGGGGGTCCCATCTCGGCCCTGCTAGAGCACCATGAGCCTAGGGACGGGCCATGGAGGAGTATCCACAGGGTCCCCCCTCGCAGCCAGGCCATGCGCGAAGGACTGGTGGAGCTAATAAGCTTATGCTGGCCCCTTCACCCCCCCGGGAACGTAGGCCCCCCAGCGACAAGGGGAAACAACCGCTCTCACATGGGACACACCGGACCCATGATGCAGGATCAAGAAAGCACAGGAAGCCTTCGCAGCTGTTCCTCAGCGATGGCTCAGCTGGACCTCTCCTGGCTGGTCTGGTCCATCACAGGATCCGATCATGAGGCTAGGCTAGGTGGAGTAGGGCCGGACCCAGTACAGGTGCTCGCCTTCCGCTACGCCAGTCTGTCACAAGACCCGGACATCGAAGCTGAAATCCAGGACTTTGACGAACCTACGAAGGAAGAAACCATTGCGGCAGAAAGGGAGTACGACATACTACGCCACGCTGCTCTCTACGTGGACATAGGAGTGTGTGACCCGACAGAGGGCCTCTTCCCCCCGACTCTCCTCGGCATGCCCAGGTGGCGACACGACCCCGCACCGGGCGTGGCGGAGAACGGTCCTGCTGACACCAACTCAGAACACAAGTCCAGGCTGTGCAAATATACTTGGCCCACGAGCACCGCGCAACACGTTTCGCTTCCCAGGCCATAGCGAAGTCAGACAGTGGGCTATTAGTAGAGGACACTGGGTCGATACAGGGGCGGACGTCCTCTCCTTGCCACAGTATGGCACAGGCCGCGACGGTTGGGTCACTCCAGCCACCCACAGCGCCGAACTGCAGACTCCAGACATAGGCGGACCCGGGGACTCCGAGGGCGACAACTTGGCAGGACCCTGGCCCATAAACCGCACCTCGCAAATGACAAGGTTCGGAGATTTTTCCAACCCCAACGGCAGATGCGGGCACTGTGGCTGCTGGAACACACGACAGGACATCCCCAATTGCATTGTGTGCCGCAGGTTTGGATCACCATGGGTGACCACTACGGACGACACGCACACGGGCGACCTTGAAGCCCCCGGGCACCTCCTGGACCTTTTGGGCACAAGGCTTACCTTCCAGCTGGCCAGGGTGGGAGCTCGGTACGCCCCTTATCGCAAGTCACATAGACAGTCACTTCCCCCCGCCAGAGGCCACCAGTTTTTCCCCATCGTGACTCGTCGCTGAGCTTCTCGCAGCGTGGTGCCACATGACGGAAGTAGCATTGGAAAGCGGCATTGCGGCGGAATCTGGAACTTGGCCAGCCGCGGCAGGAGACGCGGGCGTATGGGGCGAACCGGCAGTTCGGGCAGCGGCGGGTTCTCTGGCCAGACTCTGCTGTGCCCCGATGGGATAGGTCAGGGAAGCAATGTCACACATACAGCACGCCATCAGGGAGCACCCAATCGACAGGCAATTACGGAAATGGGTGCCAAGATGCCTCGCGATAGTCCCAACTGTCACCATGCCGGCTCAATCCCCTGCGACGAGAAGCCCCGCCCGCAGCGCACAGGGCCCAAGGGCCAGGCACCGACAATGCTTCGAAAGTCTCCCGGCCGAAGACGTGGAATGGCTCCGACGAGAAATAGGAGGCTCCTTCATAGATCAGGCACTCTCCATCACCCCAGCAGACAGGGTCTGGGCAACAGACTCGAGCACCGAAGCGGTAGAGGCAACCGAGGTGGCATGCCGAGCCATCGTGGCGACCGCCAGAAACAACGGAAGAATCATAGCCTATAGCCTAGCTCCTGGCAGCCCGTGTGGAGAGGCGATGCGCCTGGCAATCGCGCTGCGGACGAGGGCGCGAGGAACGGGGGCTCCAGTAGCCCGAGGGGACAGTCAACGGAGTACGAGAAGAGAAGAGAATGAGACGCGCGCAGCCCACATGCCAAGGCAAAGCCCGACCACACTTCCCCCCCAGAGAAGCGAGGGGAACGCGCGACGAGTGCTTCAGGAGATCCGCGAGATCCGCACCCAAGTGGCGAACGA